TCCCCCCTTAAGAGAGAGTTTTGTAGGTGGCTTTTTTATTTGTCACTTTTAAAAAAAATTTAAAGATAAGGTTATAGTTTCTCTCTGATTAAAAAGAATAAACCCATGAAATAGGGCTCTCAGACAGGAGCCATCAGACATTGTGTGTTGTAGTTCCACCTAATGTTTACCTATGAAATATTTTAAATACCTTTTATGATTGTCATAGTTGCTGCTTTGGTTCCCGTAGAATGGGGGAAGGGTTCGGCGTCAGAGAATTGAACTGGTACTCATATTTCTTTTAGGATAATATGCTAATTTTACTCTGCATTGTTTAAAACCCAGAAGCATCAGTTGTTCATTTGTTCGGTTTGGGTTTCTGTGCTTCAAGAAAACCCTGAGGCCACCAGAACTTGCAGTGCTGGGAATGACATAACCCCACCCTCCATCTGTCTATCTGATATTTTGGCAATAAAGCCAGATACGGTGAGAAAGTAATTATAGGTTGGTTTTGGAGACAAAGAGGAATGCTTTAACCGGGAAGCTGAAACTTGATAATTTAGCATTGTTGCTGTCTCGCGTGGACAGTCTCGCTTTCAGAATGTGAAGTATCTCATCACGGTTTTGGTTTCTGCCTCTGCGCAATTAGGCGAGTTAGCAAAACAAGTAAACACCTGTCACCAAAGCCACTAGGACAAAGTTAAATCTGCCCTGAGTTCCTGAAGATACCTGACCTGGATTTACCCAATACAAAAACTTCTTCATGTTCCACTGAAACTCCTCCTCTTTCCTGAGGAGATTTATCACAAAGTCAGCCTGCTTTTTCTGGAATGCTGCAGTTGCTTTAAATGCTTCTCAGCTGTTGTGTTTTGTGTATCTATGTATAAATTCAGATTTTATACACTGTATTAATCATTTATATGCAAGTTGTTTCCTTCGTGAGTTCAAGAGAGAGGAATTACCTTGTATGGTGCAAGGGGGGAAAGATTCTTTGATCCTTGAAGCATCGGACATTTGTAAACAGAAGTTATTAATTTCACCAGAAAACTATTCTGTCCATGGCTGTCTTCCACTAGTTGGATTTAATAGGTGGTGAATATATCCCTAGCATTAAAATAGTGCTTGAACTCCTTGATCATTAGAATCACTGTTAAAAGGTGTCCCTGCCTGAACTCAGCTTTTTTTTTTTTTTAATATGCCATTTAAAAAACACAGAAAAATCATATGCTTAAGGAAAAAAAAAAAGTCAATAGTTCAATTTCAGATTAATCACAGCATGTTAGTTGTAGTTGTTTGCAAATGGCCTTTTAAGAGTTATTTTATTGGGCAGTACCGTTCCAGACCAAAGGTCAGGGTCATAATACTCATAATATCTGGTGAGTCATAGATTTGTTCTGGAATCCAATTCTGGAAGACATTTATAGGACATTGTCAGTGTCTGATCCACTGGAAGGTACTCCAGCTGGGGAGGAAGGGTGTTCACCTGCCCTTTTTCAGCTGGTTTCATTGCCCTCTTTGCACGCTGTGAATCAGTGTTAGGCTTTGGGGCATTGTAATGTGTTTTCCAATAAAATGCTCTTAAGTTGTAAATTGGTTTCTGTGAGCCTTTGGGAAAGCATCTCATTAATAAGGGAAGGTGTTTGGGTTTTTTTTTTATTGTACCAGATGCAATTACATTACTCTCAATCGTGAACATGATCTTTTATTATATTAATGAACTTCTTAAATATTTCTTTGCAGCACATGGCCCCTGTTTCAGTGAGTCTATCAATGAGCAATAGGGCACCGCTGGCACTAGTCCCTGCAAAATGTTTCAGTGGCAGTGACAGTCCCTGTAGTAAGTAGATGTAGGATAATGTGATGCGCCCAGAATTCTCAGTCTTCATTCCAAAACTGTTGATTTAAGCCCAGAAGCAATCATGGTGGGTTAGTTTAGTTTCCATGCTGCATGTGACATCGATTGCTGCTGTACCTTTAGCTCTAGTGGTGGTGGTGGTCCTGTCCCCCTCCAGTCACTCAGATCCTCGGACCTACTGGGTGTATTGGCAGTTTAACTGGTGTTCAGAGCACCAGCCAGAGCCACAGCCCTTCTGTGTGGTCAGCGTTGGAATGCAATCCTCTGGAGGATCTGTTTTGCCCTGCCAAATTAATCTTCTTGCAGTTCCAGTGAGGGATTGAGGGAGAAGATGGGGGTAGAGGAAGGGAAGAGCCTGGGTGGCAGCCCTCTGAGTTTTTAGCTCTGTCTTTCTCAGGAATACCTTCTGTGCCTCTCCAGTTTGAGAAGAGCCAACATAACTGTCCATTCTGGCTTTGTACCTTCTCAAATCCTTGATCTGAATAAGACCAGATGCTACCAGTTATAGATGGTACATACAAAAATACTCTTTGTCAGTTTTTGAGTTTATCAGTACTCCTTTTCTTCGGCAGTCTGTCTTTTCTAAGGTTAGTTTATATGTTACTTCTGTACACCTGTAACAACCCTTCATGTGCATCTCCGCTCTTAAATATCAGTCTCAGTGTGTGCAGGTTCCTACCACATCTTCACTGCCCTCTGTCCTTCTTGCTTCTCTTTGCTGTTTTCTTGACCCCTGCAGTTCTATCTTACCCTGTTCAGAGAGGCTGTGCAGAATAATAAAGAATGCAAACAGATCTTACCTGCGGAAAAAGGAAATTGAATTGACTAGTATTCAAATGTTTTCTTCTCGTCCTTAGTTGGAGTGTACTTGGTTCAGCACTGTCTGCAAAAGTGTATTGAATAGGGAAAGCTGGAGCATATTTTTATAAAAGTGAAGTATGCTGATAAAACAGTCTGATTCCTCTGCCAGATTTCAAAATTCTCTTCTCTTATGTGGGCAAAAATAATGCCATTTGAAAATCACTAAGTTAATTGCATTTCACATAGTCCCTTAGAGAGTCAAATCCTTGGATCCAACTGCAGTTTTCTGAGGCTTTTCTGTAGCATTTTCCTGTTTTTCTAGTATGTTCTCTCCTGTTTATAAAGAATCTTTCAGCAGCATAGGAAACTAATGCACAGCACTACTAGATGTGTCAGCTGATGAAGTGAAAAATACCCCCTGAGAGTGATATCAGCTGTTATCTTCAACTGAGCAAGTGCATGATTTCAAAATTGAAATACATTTTTGCGTTAATATCCCTTTTACAGTTAGCTTAACAAGGTACCGAGGCTTTTGAAGTAGAATTGGTCCTAATAATTAATAGGAAGATAATTATCAAACGTAATCACTGAAGATGCATAGATGTCAGGGAATATGAAAGTCTAGTTAAAGTTTAACAAAATGTTTATAGGTGACTGTATTGCACAAATGTTTATAGGTGACTGTGTTACACAATTCTAGATGAATGAAGTGGATTTCAAGAGCAGATGTCGCATGAACGCTTCCCTCCACCAGTGTGCCTGAAGGGAACCTGTCTGGAGGCTAAACTGGAATCCAACCCAGCTTGACATCATGGAGAATTTGTTCTGTTTCCTTTGGGGGGAGATTTTTGTCCTACAGTTTGCTCCATTGTCTCAGGAGGAAAGGGGTTTCCATTCTCAGAACCTTGTTTGTTGTTTTGGCGTGTCTTGTTAAAACAAGCTCTTCGTTTTCTGATGATAGGTGGACCCTTATCAATGCTGAAATAGCTAATGTTATTGTTATCCTCTACATAGTTTTAGCAAGAATAATTCTGATACATTTTTATCATATATTAGCAGAGGCACATACATTTGAAACGATACAGTGCCTTTTGTTCTGTTGCATGGGGTGCAGTATTAGTAGAAATAAATTCTCTCTTATTTTTGATATTATGAGAGGTGATTGTGGATTTTTTTTTTCCTGTGGCAGGCACTTAAATATGATTGTTTTTGTGGATTTTTTTTTGTGTGCGGCAGGCGCTCACAGTGCAGTATTCTGCTTTTCCCACGCTTGCATAACATGTAAGCATCTTTTGGGTCTGTGCACTCAGTCTTTCAGTCTTGTTTTTACGTCTTTATTAATTTATTTATGTTTAAGGCCAAGTAAACGTTTTGCTCCTGGTCTCAGAGTTTTACTGTAATTATGGAAAACATTTATAAGTGAGCATTTCTCTACGCTAGCCAGGAACATTAAAGCAGATCACCAGTCTTGGCGCCAGGCGCGGGTGATAGTTCTGTTTGGGTGAACAGACCTTAAATAGTTTGTCCTCTGTGCTTTAAACATAAACAGGCTTTTCCCTGGCAGATAGGGTGTTCATCTTCCCAGTGTTGTTCTATTTCTCTTTTAAACAGGCATGCCTGAAATACATGGGAAGAAACAAATCTTGGTTTCCTTTACTGAGTTGTTGGTGTCCTGCTTCTGCTTTTGATAAAGGAACTTATTTTGTAGATGGGTAGAAAGGCTGTAGAAAATATTTGACACTATAGTTGTCATCCTGTTTTCTCAAGCGGTAATTATTATAAGGAAAAAAAAGTGGTTGGATTTTACTATACTATTAATTTTTATTTTATGCCTTTTGGGTGAGAGAAGGCTGCTGCTGTTCCTTTATCTGGAAACGGTTCCTTTGTGAAGGTGGAAAAGTGGCGATGCTTTGCTGGTGGGTAACGCTGATGCTTCTGTGGTGTGATTTGAACTTTCTGTAGTTCCTTCACCCCTTCTAATACTCTCTGCAGAAAGGCAGCTGTTCCTCTGGAGCCAAGGGAATTGCTGCCGCCTTGAATGGTATCAATCTTGAATTGTGAGGCATGGAAATAACCTTTGCAAATCTGAGGAAAGCAGCGCTGTGGTTGAGCAGGGATTAGGCAGAACACTGTTGGTGCATTCAGTAGTGTCTCTTTGTGCTTGCATGTGTGAATTGCATTATCAATGATTCTGAGTCTTAAAACGCTTGAGTATTTGGTGTAAAATCAAGAACAGAACGTGCACAACAAGGATGCTCGCTGAAACACCTGAGTTTACTCTGTATCTCTTCCAAAATTAATGTGTCACTCTTTCCTTCGATATTCCCAAGAATAATTTAAGATAATTTTTTGGTGTGTGTTTCAGATTGTGCAGTGAATGTCCATAAGAACTGTAAGGGTTTACTGGCTGAATGCAGCAGCATCAGACCCAAGGTGGGTTTTAAAATTTGTTCTTCTTCTACAAACAACAGTGCTTGACATAGTAAATTTAATTTAGTGTGAGTGTTTTACTTTCCATCAGTACAGAATCTTGCCCTACATTTTCAAGACATCGAATAGTTATTAACGTGTCATTATAGTAATTTATGATAATATATATAGGGAAAAGAAAGTGAAATGTTTTATTGCTGTACTGAAAGTGACTTGCCACTGCTTGTGTCTGTCAGAACTGTGACTAACCCTTATAAGAATGCTCAAACCTATCACTTTTTGGGGGAACGTAATTGAATTATATGGTACCTCTGAATTTTATGCCCCTGTATTTTAATAGGTTGTGCCATCTTAAAGCTGATGGAAGTGCGAGAGAGCTGGAGGGGAATTTGGTTATAACAGTTGCATATTATTTATAAGCTGAGCAATGCAGAATAAGTTCTTTCATTTTTGAACTGTGATGAACTGTATATCTTGCTAAGCTATTCATTTTTTATCTGTGCCATCATGGTGGCTGCAATTTCATCTAAGGTCACAGGTTGGTTTCAGATAGCTGTCGGTTTTTTTCTTCTGGTATTGGTTTTGGGAATCATTTCCTCCTCCTTATAACTAATTATACTTGAGGGAGTTTTAGTTTCTGTTAACCTGCAAGTGTTGATGATTTCAGAGACTGATAGCAGGTTAGGGACTACTGTGAGGGGGAAAAGAGAGAGCAGAACAGCTCAAAGCTGGGCGATTAGAGGTTAGAGGAAGTGCTCTCAGCCATGGGTGATTTAGAATGTAACTCTTTTGAGGGCAGAAATGTTCTTGTGGGGGTTTTTGATACTTACTTTTAAACTTCTTCTTTTAAACCAAAATGTTCGCTGCTCTGATAGTTTCATTTCCATTCTTTACCATCTCCCAAACTTTTGTGGTTGAATCAGCCCTGACAAACCTCTCCTGAGGAAAGCAAAGAGGGAGCAGTGGCACAAAATGGTATGAGGAGTGAAGTCAGAAATGAGATCCTCCAAGTGAAGCAAGACTCCCCAGAAGCCATTTGTTACAGACTATATTACTTATTTAAATTTCTTTGCACCTTCCATAAAGTCTATCTCAATGAATTGTAATAGCCTAGTGTTGTAAGAACGCCAAAGTTGTACAGGTTACCAAAGATGCAATTTTAAATAGGCACCCTAATTTTTTTGTTAGCTGGCTGGGTTGGTTTAGTTAGTTATTGATGTAAACTAAATGGTAACAAACAAGTGTCTACGTAAAGGGTTTGCTTTCATTTAATAAATTATTTATTATCATAGCTTTAATTCAGCTGTAACTTCAGTTTTGGTTCTATTTCAGTCTGATTTATGCCTGATAGGATTTTTATACAGAGTGTTGGTGTCTATATGCCATTCTGGAACGTGAAAAAATCAAAATCGTTACTATGTGAAATCTTTTATATTTTCAGTGTGCAGCTTCACTTACAGTTAGTGCTGTATGATAGGAGAAACATGATTCATTTTGAACTGCAAGTCTGGTCTGTGTGTGTAAGAATATTGTATTTTTTCCTATAGCAGAAAGATTTGCAGCACAGACCTTCTGGATCTCCACAAAGTTCGCCCCAGTGCATTTCCCCAGGTTTGTACTAAAGAATGATTTCTGTGCTCAAGGCTTATCTGTTCAATAGTATTTTTTTCTTTAATATGTTTTAAAGGCTATACACAGTGTCTTATTGAAGTATAGAAAAGGTCTCTTTTAATAAGATGGCTTCATTTTTTTTTCTATTGGGAATGGCTTAGAGGCTCCTAGCAATCTCCTGTGTGTTTTTATCTTTTTATCTTTTTATTTTTCTTTATACCTTCTTGCTGTGTAACCTCAAAATATCATGGTGAAAAGGGATCAATAAGCTAGTTTTTCATTGATTGTCTATTCTCTGGCCTCTGAAAAGACTAGAACTGTGAACTTTGTTTTACATCAGATTTTCATAATTGTCTATTTAAAACTTGCCTGCAGCTAGTGGTTGCTAGAAATCTCTAAGACAAGCTAGCACTAATGGTCTGAACATAAATCTTTTTTGCCACAAAGTGGGAAAAGGGATCTGGGAGAAAATAACAAGAAGAAAGAGGAGCTCTATTGCAGCATAGGCTTTGAAATAGCCTTTTGCTGCTGGAAAAGACCATCGCGGCCACAGGTGTATAATTTAAATGGCATTTTAATTTGTAGATGTTACAAGGTCTGCATTAACAGAACAGGCTTCTTGGCTCTCAGGTGGCTGATGGTAACTAGAGCAGAATTATCTCCTGCCTTGCAGTTGCTTTGGCTGTAAGAAACACAGCTGACAGGAATGTCCAAGTATTCTATGTGTATTTCCTATGTTCTTGTATTGTTTGACTTGCATTGCAAGGTGTAGTTCTTTATGAAACTGTTCTTACCAAGAGGTAGCGCAAAAGGAATAATTGTTTTAAGAAGATAAGTGGCTGTTTGCGTTATCGAGAATGGTTTTGTGCATTTAGGGGAAAGTGCAGAGGCTAAAATAGGAAACAATAAGGGATAATGAAAATAGGAAAAGTTGGCTGTAGGGCTTGTCGTTGAAACAGCTCTGTGGTATACAGTCTGGTCTGGTGTGATAGGTTAACAACGATCGATAGGGACTCTCAGCAGTGTGCAGGCAGTGCTAATTGAACTCAGAAAATGGCTTTTTGTTGGTGCAGACTGCTAGGCAGCCAGGACTTATTTTCCATAGTCAAAAGCAGAAGCTGAAAGTTAAAGGAGCAGCTAATAGCATGGGCACTGGTTGTCTTTACCCACAGTATGACACTGCAGGCTGCAGTGCCCAGCAGAAAAAGCCAAGGGTATTGTATCAGTGTCAGAGAAATATGTTTTAAGAAAGGTATAAACAGGGGTGTTTGCATCCCCTCTGTCCCTCTCCCCATGTTCTGCCTCTGGAGATTTTTTGATTTGGCCTAACGTTGTGAACCAGAACTTTATGTTCTTGACTTGTAGAGTACAAAGAACTTCATGGCAGATGATTTCAATACTTCTCCAAATGGAAACGGGAGGACATTATTATTAAACCTTTAAGAAATCCACCTTTACAAATCTTGCTAATATCTATTTAGTCTCCTCTGGACCAGTGGGCTTGGAGCTCATCACTTGGTGATGATGGAAGAGGACTCAGTTTACCCAGTTTGTTGTAGACTGAGAATGTGCTCCCTGTGTAGCCAGGAGATTTCAAACCCAAACAAGTTTTGGGAAAGGTATTTCCAGCAGGAAAAGATGTGGTGATATAATTTCTGTTAAATGTCATTGATGAAACCTCCCCTGCAGCCCTAATGTGATTCTAGTCAACTGTTTCAAGGAAGATGAAATGAGAGACAAACAGATGTCTAAAGTATGGGATACTGAGAAATGTGGAAAAACCTGTTTCATCAGAAGAAACATGAATACCTTGGTTTAGCTGTTTGGTTGAGCAAGGCAGAAGTGCAGGGAGAGATAATTGTTAGTGGAGGTACGGACTGAGAAAGGGGAACTTTTGGGGATGAGTAGACACCGGTGCCTTTATAAGAAAAGTTGTAAATTAACAATGAATAAACCTTGGCTGGGAACTGGAGACCCTCTTGAACTGCTGCAACAGCGTGGTCCTGAAGCAGCCTCCCCAGACACTGTGCTGGACGAGGAGGTTGTCTGAGTTGAAGACAAAGCTGCCTTGCAGTGGAGGGTCCTGGGTTCAAGGATCCATGAGATCTCGTCCACTCCTGTGTCCTTAAAAGCACTTTGAATAAAGGGCAGCTGCAGACCTTGTCAGTGATAAGTTTTAAAGATCGTCTGGCTGATTCTTCATCTTTGACTTCTCTGAAGTTCCTTTTTTTTAAAAGGAATTATTTTGTCTCCTGTTCCTTATCATTCATTACAGACATTAGTGCTAAATAATTGTATCCATTTTTTATAAGTCTATTACAGGCTTCCACGTATTGTGTAATAGCGATTAAAGTTTTAAATATCTTTCCAGTTCACAGTCTGTCTAGATTTAAAAAGCATTTAAAAGCTGCTGTATTAAATTTAGCTCTGGTATCTATTATGTTCAGTGTGTGTGTGCATGCAGATATCAATCACTGTGTAGCAATAAGCATTGCAAAGAACTTGTGGTTTTTATGTGATCTCAGATTTTTCTTGTTTGCCATGAAATGTTCTGTGCCCTTATACGGTAGAGTGTGAATAATTGTGTGTAGGTTCTGGTGTTTTACTAAAGGAGAAGATACTTTGCAATTTCCACACTAAATGGGCACAGTAGGGACCAATTTCCTGCACTTCAGACCTGCTGATTTAGCCAATACAGTAAGTTAAGTGGCAGCTTTACATTTCTAGAAGGATCACAGGTAGTATAAAAACAGTGCATCTCTGGGGCCACTTTACTGTGCCAAGTCTGAGGGCAGCCAGTAGTGAGCATGGGGAATACAAATTCAAAAAGCAGCGGCAGAAGCAATACAATTCCAGCTCATCCTGAGCTGTCTTTTTGTGGTTCCTTTTCAAGAAAATGGAATGAGAATGTTTTTTTGGACAATGAGCTCTTGACATCCAAGATCCTGTCTGTTCTCCGTCCTCATTCAGAGAGAGGTTTGAGAGCAGGCGACCTGCAGTGTACGCCTCATTTTCTGAGTACCAATTCAATTTTTGCCTCTCTAGCCGCTTCTTTGAAGGAGCAGCCCCAAAGTCTTCTCCTGGGACCGGATGGCACCCCAGTACTATCACGGAATCTCGGTATGACTATCGCCCAAAGAGGAAAATCTCAGTCTTCATTGAATACTCCTGGAGCTGTTAATAAATTTGGGTAAGCAAATTGCTTCTCTTCTAAGCTTCTGCTGCCACCCCCCCCCCCCCTTCGTTTTCAAGCTCAAAAGAGATTTATTGAGCTTTTAATGCTGAAATTAATTTCCCTGCACAGTAAGCTTTTTTTTGTTTGTTTGTTTAAATCACCTTGTCTTTAGTACCTCTATACTATGTCACAAAAGATATCCTATAAAAAAGGGCAGGACTGGAGTATCTCTGTCTAGGTTATGGTTTTTGTGGGTATATTTGTCTTCAGACTTGTTGAAATTCAGTAATCTGAGTTCAGCTATTCTAGGTTGTGCTAGTTCTGACTAGTGTGGGAGACAGCAGTGTTTTAAATTGCAGGATACCTTGATTAAAATAGTAGACAAATTCAAAGCTCTCTGCTGTTTGAAGTAGTTGTTTACTTTTTATGTGCTACAGTTATGCTTCCTTCTCAGTGAAAGTGCCCTTTGTACTCTGAACCGGCTGTGGCTTGTCACCAGGCGATGTCTTTTTTTAAAATGTCATACCAGAAGTTGCATACTTGCTCATGCTGCTCTAATTAAAACTGTAATATTTCAGTGATGGAGTTGCTAAATTGGTTTGACTGTTTTAAAGTTGGTGTGCAAGGACAGCTTTTATATATTTATTTTAATTGCACTCGAGTTTAGGAAAGATGCTTGTTAAATGTAGTTGGATTTTTTATTTTTTTTTGTCAAGCAACTTAAAAAATTTTAATGTTCTGGTTTGGTCCCTCGGTCTAATTTCTTTGACCATTTAGACTAATTTCAGGAGACATGGATGAAGGGGATTCAGGCTTTATAAAATTTAAGCAGACTTCAGATGACGTTGTCGTGCTTGCACCTTCAACAGCAGACTCCATTTTTCTGGAAGGTATGGAATTTCTATGCTTTTCAGGATTTTTATGCAATTTCTTACAGTCTTAAAGCAGCACTGAGATGTTTTTACTGTTGTTGTTGTTGTTAATTATGGTAATGAGGGATATGGTGGGAAACAATTTAATAATAATTGAAATTGAATGTGCTTTTGGTCTAGATGCATATTACGTATCCCTCCGAAGTGAAATAGAAACAGATGCTCATGAGTTTGAGGCAGAGTCTTGGAGTGTTGCAGTGGAACAGTCTTATGCAAAAAGACAAAAGAAAGACGTTATAAAAAGGCAAGATGTCATTTATGGTAAGAATATTTTTTGTTCTTCTCTTTCACAGCGTCACTGTTTTGAAACAAAGCAGAAATTTTTTTTGGCTCCCATTTTTACTCATGCTTGAAAACTAAAATTATGTGAAGAATGTCAAGTCTGTTACCTGTCTTAGTGTGCCTAAGTCCTCCTATTAATGATTTTAAGCAACCTGTAGTTTTCAGTATGCCTGTGTTAGCAGCAAAACCCAGCTATACATTTGGGGAATAGCTCAACTGCTAATAGGAGATGTCGTTAAATAAGTAGGGTCAGTCACTGTTTGGTTGAGAGAGAAACAGGGCAAATTTAGGAGCTTCACATCAGTGATGCAAAGATTATGGTGGAGAAGAAGGTGGCTTTCGGAGCCTGCTCTTTTATATCTCACTAGTTATTTATATGACTTTTTTTTAATTTCCCTTTGCTCAGAACTAATGCAGACTGAAATGCACCATGTTAGGACACTGAAAATAATGCTGAAGGTATACTCCAAAGCCATGAGAGAGGAACTGCAGTTCCCAAATGCAGTCATCAACAAGCTTTTCCCCTGTGTGGATGAGCTGCTGGTGGTGCACGGGCAATTTCTGCTCCAATTAAAGGAGCGACGAAAGGAATCCTTGGAAGAAGGCAGTGACCGAAATTACATAATCCAGAACATTGGAGACCTCTTGGTAAAACAGGTGTGAATTAAATTCTACCAATTTTGTTGACACTGTTAAATTTCTAAAAATCTAACAGTAAGGTTAAAATTATGTTACATAAAAATTGATTTAATACTGGGTTTAAGATTTATCTTTCCAGTGTGATGTGTGAGCATGACTCCCAGGAACATACCTGGTCATGAATAGTATGAAATGTTCTTTGGGCATGTGTGTACGTATGTTGTAGGATGTGCCACTGCAGATGGTTTGGTTCTACTTCTCTGTTCCAGAAGTATCACATTCCTGGTATCCATCCCAAACAAGGCTCTCCTGCATTTAATGCTGAGCTTCTTGGTTCTGACCTAAAAATGCAGCAAAGAGCCTTTGAACTCATTACAGCTTTAGCACCTGTATTGGTATGGAGTGGATGCAATGATTGCTTTCATATATCGTGACCATTTTTTGCCCTTCACCTTTTACAAGTCCTCAGGTTTTTTTAAGTGCAGAGGCCCAGAGATCCTTTAAAAAATTCTCATAATCATAACTATCAATTAATATTTGTTTATCTTGTGGTATTCCAGGCTCTCAGATGTCACACTGTGTAAATCTCTCATTTGTGGTACAGAAGAAAATGAAATATTGAAGAAATGTCTCAGAAATCAGTTACCATAAAACCATGTTAAACCTGGGTCTTACAGTGGAGATAGGTTTACTCTTAACAATTCATGTCTTTCATTCTTCTATTTCCAATTAGTTTTCAGGTGAAAATGGAGAGAGGATGAAAGAAAAATACGGTGTGTTCTGTTGCGGACACAATGAAGCTGTTGCTCACTATAAAGACCTGCTCCAAAGCAATAAGAAGTTTCAAAATTTAGTAAAGGTAAACAACAACCAGAAGCCTCCTGTTCTGACTGTGCAAAATATACTTAACTACTTTAGGTTTTATTTTGTACTTGAAGATCTCTTAAATTTGAATGAGCAGGGTTAGAGGCCTATTCTCATTATTTGATGGACTGTTAGCTTCTTGCATTTTAGATGTTTTGATCATTTGGACACAGAGCCACAATTAGCAGGGGTTAAATTTGAGGCAGGATCTTGAGAGCACATAGAACTGGGGAATAGATTATTTGTTTTATTCATAGCTCTATCACTGACTGCCCTGCTATATCACCATCTCTGTAAATTGGCTTGATAATAAATTATAAATCAATGATAAATGCTGTTGATGAACCACTATAGGAAAGGCAGGTACTCTTAGTCAAGTTTTGTCCATTACATCATCTTTCCAAAACGAGAAGATTGGCTCCAGGGTGGTTTGTTTATCTGCTGTACACTGTGATGTGCAATTAATAGGAAGGGCTGAAGGGACACAGCCAGAGTGGAAGCCTGTAACCTGAATCCCCCATGGCATTGCACAGTCCTAAGTATTCTCATTTTCCAGTCATCAGTAAGTGATACTGTGTGAACTTTCCAACACAGCTCTATACTTACAGCTCTTCTCGGCAAAGTGTCTTTAAAAGTGCGAGCCCTTTACTTTCAAGGAACTAAAGAAGTGACCAGAGTTTGAAAATATATAACCCCAGTCCTTGGAAAGAAGGATCTTGGTGCTGTGTTCTGCTGCCAGGATTGTGCTATACCTGCAGTCAGACCAACCAAGTGGGATTCCCATGCCTTAAAGTCTTCCCTTCCTAAACAGAAATGTAGATGGGCTTACTGGTGAACATAGAGTAGTAAAATAAACACTGGGTTTATTTGTTATTGACCCAGTTGGTCTGTTAGGTGATTGAGTCTGGTTTTAAAACCATAGTACTATTCTATGTATTTAAGGACCGGTCCTATTGTAAAAGGCAATCAGTTAGCATATAAGCAGACAAACAATTCGGATTTGGAACTTTCTCTGCTTGGCTCCAGATTTAGTTAACGGTAGTTGAAAGTAATACCTAAAATATTTTCCAGTAATAAAAGCAATTTTTTCAATGTTACCAGGAGTTTTTCTTTTTACTAAAAGAGTGCGGCTAATTTAGTGGTGCTGTCCCTAACTGTAGAAAAATGTTTTGAGACAGAAAAATGTGTGAACGGGGAGGCGAGGGAGTTGAAGAACACCGTGTGCAATGGATGCGATGGGTCTCTCTTTGTTTTCTAGAAAATTGGCAGCTGTTCCCTTGTGAGGAGACTTGGTGTTCAGGAGTGTATCCTCCTGGTCACGCAGCGCATCACCAAATACCCAGTCTTGGTGGAACGCATAACTCAGAATACAGAAGGTGGGTTGTTTAACCTTTCCTGGAGGCCTCACATTTGTCTGCTGATCCTTTTTCTCCTGTGTTTTGCATGTTCTTTCTTCAGACGAGGAGGGGCAGGCTGGTACTGCCTTACACCTGCTTTCTTGCTTCTTCATTAGCTGAAGATGCCGTTCTAGATGCAGATCCAAGATCCAGATCAGCCTCACCTCATCAGAGGGTCGAGAGCAGCCTTCAGTTTCGAGTCTGCAACCACAAAGCCATAGTAGTTAAACATGTCAGTTCATAGAGATTTAGAGCTTTGGGATATTTTATTTTATTTTAAAAATTAAGCTCTTGAGAAATACTGTTACATGTTCAGTATTGAACCTTCATGTTAAAATATGTTTGGATGGCTCCTATCTTCTATTCCAGAGTTGAAACTGTGACTGACTGCTACTCTTTTCTCTTAGCCGGAACTAGAGATTATGAAGACCTGACCCAGGCCCTTAGTTTAATTAAGGACACCATCACTCATGTAGATGCCATGGTAAATGAGTATGAGAAGGGACAGCGCCTTAAAGAGATTATGCATAAAATGGAGCTAAAATCATCTGGGAAATGCAAGAATGGACTTTTCTTCCGGAAAGATGACATGGGACAGAGGCGGCTTCTGCTGGATGGGATGCTCTACTGGAAAGCTGCATCAGGGCGACTCAAAGGTAAAAGTACAACTAGGAACAAGATTTATTTTTTTTTTTTTAGTAACTGTTTATTACTGATCGATTGAGTATAAAATAAGATGACAATAACCTACTTGTTTAATAGGATATTGGAGGAAATAGCACTTGTTCTATTCTTGGCTTGTCCAATAAGCATCTCTGTAATGGTGCATGATAAGTTCCTTATGCTGTTTGCTTATTATCTGTCTGATCTGCTTTCCAGTTCAAGAGGGAGGTCTTTAGATAGATGACAAAGCTTTGAGTCATACTGACTTAGTCTCCTGTGGAAAGGCATTATCTTGTGTGAGCTCAGGTTCACACTTTAAAAGATCGTGTCATGTTAACCCCATGACACCTTCATTCTGCATAATGTCTGTTTTGCCAGAAAATCAAAACTGTCCATTAGTGAATTTTTCAACAGCTTCATTGCTCAAGTGTTCAGAGAAGCTTCAGTGGCCCATGAAATGCAGCCAGGAGTAGGTGGTACTGTGAATGGCTGCAGTTCCAGAAGAATCTGTTGAGGGAGACGTGTTCCCCCCTGAGTGTTTGAGTCGATGTGTGGGATGCCTGTGGAGGAGTTTTCAAGTTTCAGATCAGCTCTGTTTGTATTGTGCTGGTTCTGCATGACTGCAAGCTGTCTGTGGACAACCCAAGTGGAAGGCAGTAGCAGACCCAGTATTGCAAATGTTGACGTGCTATTCCCTGACCCGCAGGAAATTTAAGTCATGTGATTTATTTTTTTTTTCAATCTGGACCATTTTTTTCTGCTTTAATTATTTTTTTTTCCCTTGTCTGTTGTTACTGTAGATATCCTGGCAGTCCTGTTAACCGATGTGCTGTTGCTCTTACAAGAAAAGGACCAAAAATACACATTTGCATCAGTGGTAGGTATTTTCCTCCTTTTTCAATACGTTCACTTAGAGTATTTCTGAAAGTGACAGTTACAACGGAAGAAATACACTTAGAGATGTTAGATACTTGTTATGGTAGGTTCAGAAGGAAAATTAAGTTAATAAACCTATAATAGCTAATAAGCTATTAGAGAGTCACGCTTTCTGAAGCAGTTCTGGTACTTGTTGAATGCCTCCCACTGTCTCTAAGTGCAGAATAGTGTTCCTGTGCATCAGCCAGCTGAGCTGCCACATCTGTGGTATTCTGAGGCCTTGACTTTCTTCTGATGTTCACCATTTCTTTTCTTGTGCTGTGACTTTCCCTTTCACTGAACTTTCTTAGGCTATTGTTTTATCCAAGTCATAGATGTTAAACATGCTAAAACTGTTCTTGGAAAGGCACTCACAGGTAAGGCCTGCTGCTGTCTGTTAATGGACAGGGAAAGAATCTTCCATTTCAGTTGGGGACGTGGTAATCAGGTTCATAGTAGTCTTTACTGGGGGCAGAGAACTTTCCTGAAGTAAATGTAATAAGCCCTAAATGCAAATGTAATTACTGCAGCACTCTAGAACACTCAGTGGGTTTGCTTGCTTTTCTAGGGCATTTCCACAGGTGTCCTCAGAGCAGTTAATTGTGTACATTGTGTCCTAATTTAGCTCAGTTATGGCTGTAATAGAACCCATAACAGCGAAACTATTTTATGTAATTATTTTCTTGGGTGTATTTTTTTTTTTCAAGACATTAACATTAGAGCTGAATTCTAATGGCAAAAGCTATTTTGGTGACCTCAGGGCTGTAAAAGCAACTGCTTTTCAAATTACCCTTCCTCTAATGCACAGAATGGGGATACTTTCACAAATCAGGATGGTTGGAAGTTGTTTCCTCTGGAACAGCATTAGGTGAATCTTTGAACATTAATTTGTTTTATGACGTTGACTCTGATAGGCTAATTCTGCTCCGTTTTCCAAAAACGCATCTGAGCTATGAGCAGAAGAGCAAATTCACAGAGAGGAAAACCATAACTGTGTGTGTACAGTGTCTCGGCTGTTGTGGCAGTTTTCCATATGACTGCCGTTGCTTTGAGAGAAGTGTGAGTAGCTTACATCGAGGCTAAAGCACTGTTCCCAAGAAATAAGAGCATGCATGTGTGTTCTTAGTCAGTAGAGCTGTTCCACTGACAGGTGGAATGTATAAACCCTGGTTTGTATGTCCCCTAGTAACTTTTCTGTGAGCACATACCATACAGTTGCTTACGACAGTCCCTAAAAGCTGATCTGTTGGGTTTTTTTCCCTCCAGTAACATGCTCTACAGTTGTAGATTTACCAATTTTTTGCATCTTTGTGGGTATACAGTTTATTTGAAATGTAGATACCACTCTCCATACATAAATCAAGCAACAGGAGCAAATGGATCTTCTCGGTGATTCTGTTTTTCCAGTGACCTCTGTCGATGGCTTGAATTGCAGTTCAGTGGCTCAGAGCAGTTGGCAAAACCTGATGTTCCTGATTTTTGTTTCACAGCTCGGTTTTCTTATCATAGCTAGATTATGCTGTGAAGGTTCAGCAGTTAAAAAGAGCCTTTTTTTTTTTTTCTGGGGAGGATCTTTCTAGGTCGCATATATTGGACCTATGCTGTGTGAAGCATAGATAGGTTTTTAGTAACTAATATCCCTCCTGTAAATTTATTTTCAGTGCAAAGATTTACAGCTAATCCAGTTAATCCTTAGTTAGACAATACTATCTGTAACCTTCTTTTATTATTCACAGGGCTTGATGGCACACTGTAACACCTCTCTGTCACGTTTTTGTTTCTACTTAGAACTTCTAACACTTCATTCTGTTCCCTTCTTTCACTTGTGTCATTGAGGTTTTGGTTTTTCAAATTTTGGTTTTGAGCAAACTTTTTGAGCCTGTTCTTGACTTCTGGGACCTAGTGGGAATCTCGGGCCCTAAAATTGATACATGCTTTAATGCTCAATCAGGTACTGAGACCTCTTGGTTTTGAAATGTACATTCTTCGTTCCATTTTAGCTGTGGTTGACGATGACAGTGTCAAAGGTGTCACGTGAAGAGGCCATAGCAATAAAATTAATAGTGTCGCGATGTTATGGCTCGTGGTGGCCTTGTGTAAGTAGGAAGACAGGAAGCTAGGAAGCACAAACCCTAAAGAATGTATATAATGTAGTGCAATAAATTATATTTTGTTTTACAGGACTCTAAACCACCAGTTATCTCATTGCAAAAGTTGATTGTAAGAGAAGTGGCTAATGAGGAAAAGGCAATGTTCTTAATTAGCGCTTCCTTAAAAGGACCAGAAATGTATGAAATTCACACAAGTTCAAAAGAGGAGAGGAATTCCTGGATGACACACATCCGCAGAGCTGTAGAAAGGTAAATGATGAGTGAACGTGGGAGGGTTTGATTTCTCGCTCATCTGTCTCTCTTCCTAAGACTCATAGGTGTAAATTTATTGTAAAAAATCCATTTGACTATCCCGAAACTTTCTTTGTAAGACCAAAGTGTGTGATTCTGTGTTCACTGGGAAGAAGCCACACATAAAGATCAGAAAAAAAAAAAAGGCAGCCAAAGACTATATTCTGCTTTATTTTTAAAAATTAAAAAAAAAAAAAAAAAAGATGCACGGATGTCAAATGCCACAGGGCTTTGGATAAGGGAGGAAGATTGACACACAAGATAAACCACATCCTAGGCAAAAGCTTCAGGTTGAATCCTGAGATGGTTTTAAGTTCTCTAATGTGCAAATCAAACCTGTATCTGTCTCCTGCTTTGCACAGCTGTCCTGATGAAGAAGGAGGAACATTTAATGAACCTGAAGCAGAGAAGAGGCTGGCTGAAGCAAGAGCTGCTAAGTTGAAAGATTTTCAGGGTAATGACTTAGTTATATATTCCCCGAACTGCTTCTCAGCATCACTTGTGATTTATGACTGTCTTATTCTTTTATCACATGATCAAGTTTCTCCTTCATACGTCTTTCAAGGTAGTGCAAGATTATGTAGAAATAGTTAAGTTAAATAAGTCTAATAAGCTTTGTATGCTCCATGAGTTTTCCCCTTAACTGTTAATTATATCTCTGCATTTGATGCTCTGACCATAAAATGAATAATAATCTTCCAAATTGAACATCACCCTCTGACAGTGATTAGGAAGGCAGAACTGAGTTTGTTTCTTCCTTTAGAGCGTTTGAACATGAAAGACGACCTGATTTTGCAAAGCCTAACTGAGAAGCAACAGATTTATCTAGAAATGTCTGAAATGAATGGGTTTGAAGACCATACCCAAGGATCTCGATCTAAGCTACTTCTTCGGGGGGATATCTCAGAAAATCTTCAAGGAGAGGTGATCTTGAAGTCCGCAGTGACCGAAGGTAAATGCACTTTGGGAATGCGTTCCCTTGGGTGCAGGGGTGGGGATAAGCACATAGGATCTAAGTACAGGTCCTGGAAACCATCCTGTAGCAGCATAATACTTTTGTGTAACATTGTTCAGACTTCCTTATTTTCAGAACCAATCTGCAAGATAGGTAAAGTGCACCGTGTTTTTAGGTAGAGGATCTTCTCACACCTTGGATTTTTTTTTTATTTTTAAGGATCAACTGGTGGAGTCTTAGGACGAGTCTATTCAGAGGAGTAACTGGAGTGCCCTAATAATACACCAGTCCTGAAATATAATATTGTATGAGGGTTATATATTAAAATAGCCTGTCTAAAGATAGTATATTTAAAAAGAAAATAAGCACAAACATAACTTTTATTTTGGAAAAAAAAAAACAAACTAAACACTCAAGACTCGATAATCTAACTTGCAATCAAGGAAGAGGTCATCTTTATGTGCAATAGGCAGAGCCTGTCATAAAGAGCTAATCATGAAGGGAAATTCACCTGTACTGCAGGAAATCTCTCAAACTGCCCAATCTTTTAATGTATTTGATGGTTGAATTTTTTTTTTTTTAACTTGTTAGCTTGATGCACTTGTCTCACTGCACAGACATGGCTGTTTACATATGTTCTCCTCTTTTCTAGCTGAAAACCTCCAGAACCTTATCTTCACTCACTTAGGCAGTGGATCCTGTCAGCCTGAGGATTGCTCTGGATTGGGACTCCCTAGGAGAGCAGAGACCTTTGGAGGATATGACTGCAGTCCCTCAATTTCAAATAAAAGTAAGAAAGGGAAGATTCAGCATTCTTCTGAGCTGCTTAGCTCTTTACTGTTGTTTCAGAAAATGGGATAAGAACAATGAATTAAGTGAGGCTCTGATAAAAGGAAGCTTCACCAGGCTCTGAAAGGAGGAGGACAAGAGCATATTTCTAGTGTGTGTTAGCCTGTTGTATCTTTTGCTTCTAATACCAACACTAGAGAGCAGAGTAGGGCTCTCAGTGTTACGCTAAGAGCATTACATTAACCCATACTTCCTAATTATCACAATTCCACACAGAATTTTAATTTTGTTGAAAAAAAAAAATAAGCTTGACCTGCAAATGTAGAAAATTTTAATTCAGCTCCCTGCTTTTATTATTGAATCTTGAAAACTTTTTTCCACTTTCTTTTGTATCTGCACAGTCACTAAAGGGTTGCTGAATCCTTAGATAATATAAATTGTCCTTTAGGCCCAGATGATTTATCAGTTAATTAATTGAGTGGAAATACTAGATACTATTTATCTCCATTTTTGCTTTATGCATTTATTGAGAAATTGTCTTTATTTCACTGGTTGTTAATCTCTAGAATACCTTCTGTTGTCTCTGAAAGTCTATATATGTTTGTCATACTATAGGCTCTTCATGCGGTGTGGTGTTCACCTCAGTTTCTATCTCCCTCTACCTCCTTCCACACTTACAGTGGTGCTGCTTTGAATAGAATTTTTCTACTAACAATTATTCCATATTACGAGCTTGCAATTCTGGTAGCCACAGACAATCATTTTCATGTACACATTGTGGTTGCTTCACTTAAAATAGTATAACATAATCTGAACTTACTCTCCCTGTTTATCTTAACCCACTCTCGAGTTTTTACACTTTTCTGAGCAATCCTATTTGTCAGTGTTGTCTGTTCTTCCAGTTGGAAACAGCGTGGAGAAGCCACACAGTTGTGTATTGATTCTAACCTCAAAGTCACAATTTTTTACTGTTTGCTCTGTGAATACAATGAGTTTTCACAGGCCTGGTGCCGGTGTGAGCTCCTCATACTTCACTCCTCATACTTCATTCCTCTTTCAGCTGGTAGCTTTAGGAAGAACAGTGGTGGTGACCAGAAACAGTGGGACTGGAGAGGCCCTGCAGTAGGTTCAGATGTGCAACTCCACGACCTCCCTTCTGACGCAGAAGAAGGATCTCAAACCGTATGTTTGCCTTATGCGTGATATAAACGCATTTTCTCCCCTTCATACTAATGTTGGCAGAACAAATCTCACAAAGTTAAAGTCATGATAGCTGGTAGGGTGAAACTGTAACAGAGGGCTGTCAAATTACTCGACTCAGTTGAGGATGTTTTATGGGGCAGGCTGATAGATTAGCACTTGAGATGCATGATAATTTGGTTTTATAGCTGTTTAGTTGCTGCTGTACCATTAACACTAGCTTTATCACCATGCATCTGTTTCAGCCTGGCCTCTGATTTAAATATTTTTGATACGTGTCCTTCATTGTATGGGAGCAATCTCTGCTCCCGCCATAAACGCTGTTCCCTGATGAGGTGAACTTTTCCACCTTGTTCTGGCAGCACTTCCAATGCCCAACAAGTGTCTCTAGCGCAGGTGTTGGTTTTGTCTTTTTTTAGTGTGATGTGACAAGGCCGGATGACAGCAGTGGTCCTCAGCCCACCATAGAGTCTCAGGTATGTTATTTCTGCTGGTAGGAAATCTAATGGCAAATAGCTGTATTATAATAATAACATGCAAACCCAAAACAAACCAACCCACCGAAAAGCTCAGTATTTTTATTGTGGAACCACAAGCACATTAACAGCCTGTGCCTTATGACTCGAACACATTACGAATGCAGAGATAAAAGTGCTGTTAGAAAACAGATGGGTTCTGGGTACGTAGACACACATTTCAGAGCCGGCTGACTGCTTCTCCTGCATCTTTGGAGAGATCGCATGGTCTCAGCTCACTGACAGAACCGGCCTCTGGATCTCCCGTGAGTGCTGTACCTGTTTAGCAGTTCAGTGCTGGAGCACGGGAAGAAGTGACTGTGTGGAGAAAACATGATGAAGATTGCTCCCTGGCATCCCACTGAGATTTGCTGGGTGCTGATTTACATCACTGCAAGGACTAACATACCAAAATTCATCGTGCTGGCTGATTGCTTTATTGGCTGTTGCTGTGCTAGAGTACTCTTGTAGCTGTGCTTCCATTCTGTGTGCTTTTGTACAGATACTGTTGATTATGTTCACGGTTTAAAAAAGAAAAAACAAACTTAAAGCATCAAAGCAGAGCTCTGTTCAAATGTCTAATGTCTTTTTTCCCCTCCCTATGCCTCCCCTCCTCTCCAGCTTGTCCAAAGGATACAAACATTGTTGCAGTTGCTCTCCAGTCTTCAGGTAAACCACTATTTACCATCCCAGCGGTTTGTTAGGCATTAAATGTAATAAAATTTATGCAAGTGTGGAGATGAGCTACCTTGAAAATATCCCCTAAAGCTAGAGCAAAGTGCAGAATTTAAGACCTGAGACTCCAGGAAACAAACACTGTGTCTGGTATTTTGAAGGAAGTGTTAGATCTCTTGTCTTAAGTAATTGTTTCCTTTTTCCTGCTCACTTAAATGCAGTTCTTCTGCTACTTTGAGCTCTGTCTGCTCTGTCTTCCTCTTAAAACTGTTGTTGGGGGGTGGGGGTGTGTGTGTGTGTGTATTAGTTGTTTTTACTGTAACCTTGTAATTAGCAATATTTTGACCGATTGGATTCAGAGTAATAATTCTAGGTGCAATAAATGTTAATTTTGCCATATGGAAGCAGAATTTATTGGCTCAGCCATCTTCAGAACCATGTCAGTCGTGATGGGCAGTACAAGCTGAAGTTAGATCTGCTCTTGAAGGCAGAATTCTCTGCGATTTAATCTGATAGATGCTGTTGTCTTATGTTTAACTCTGCGTGTTTTTTGAACCCATGTGTTTCATGCTGAAATTCTTCCCTCCCCTCCAGGCAGTGATATCTCAGCAGGACAGCTACATCGAGATGCAACGAGCCACCATGGTAGACCGGGAGAAGCAATACCGGCTGCAGTCCACCCGAGGCAACCTGCTGCTAGAGCAGGAGAAACAGCGCAACTTCGAGAAACAGAGGGAGGAACTGATGAACGTGCAGAAACTCCAGAGCCAGCTGAAGCTGGAGCAGCAACACCTGGAACGGGAGAGGAGTCGGCAGCAGAGGGAATTTGAAAGCACGGAAGCTCAGCTGCAGGAGCGTGAAGAGGAGACTCGGCAGCTGAGGGAGAAGTTGAATCAGGAGAGGGAAGAGCTGGAGAGGCAGCGAGAGGCCTATCAGCATGACCTAGAGAGGCTGCGGGAAGCTCAGAGAGCAGTTGAGAAAGAGAAGGAGCGTTTAGATCAGCTCAGGAAGCTGAAGAAGCAGAACACAGTGTCAGGCACGTTCTCCCCAGAAATGGGACAGGTGAGGAAGTAATTTTCTTGGAGTTTTATTTCTGTTAACTTGATTGCCCCTTTCTGCAGCACTAACCCATGTTTGCTTTTTACCGGGCTCCTTGAACCATCATCTGAAATAGCTGGTGATGGCTACTGTCAGAGACCAGAGCTTAGCAGTTCCCCACTCTGTGAAATTCCACCCAGACATTTATTTGGTAATGAGAATTTTTTTTTTAGAAAGATAGCAACAGAGAATAAGTTATTTTTTAACGTGGCTCTCTGTGGATATATTTTTTTTTTTAAGCACAGGAACTGCTCTATGGCAGGCAGGTGATTGCAGGTGTGCTGCCTTGATAGTGTTTTGTACAGTTGATTCTAGAAACATTTCTTGTGTTTCAAAATGTGAAGGTTTGGATCTGAGTAAATGGGCTCATTTGTTACTGTCTTAAAGTCCTGCTTTCTGTCCGTCCTGCCATCACCTAATGCAGTGTGCTTCTGCGTTCCTTTGCTAGGTGCAATATTAAGCAGTCTAGAGCTGCTGAGGCTCTTTTCAGTGTTCAAGGGCTTATAATCTTGCTCTTCTGTTTGCCAGCATGCTTTGGGCTTTGTCTAACCTGCTGCATTTTCCACTAGGTGCTTTATGTTTTCAGGGCTGAGGGTGGTCTCTCCCCATTGTATCCGAGAGAGTAAAAACTACCCGTTTGACTTAGAATGCTTTTTTTTTTCCCCTCACCTAGAACCAGATGCTAGGTCATTCCGTCAGCTTCAATGGAGAAGGGGTGGAACCATCTGTACCCATCCTGAAAGCCTCTGTGCGAGTGAGCGTCTCCGGGATGGATTACCTGGAACGGCCGGACTTGGTTCGCAGGGACAGCACCACCCTGGAGAACCGCCCTGCTCTTGCACTGAAGAATGAAGTGCCAATACATCTCCTGAGCGCAACTAATCAGATACAGAAGCCAGCTGCAGTCCAGCAGCAGATTCCTACTAAACTGGCCACTTTTACAAAAGGAAGCAAAGAGAAAGGTGGGAAGAACAAAGCATCTCACAGGACAGACAGTTCAGGTAAGGGTATTTAAATACCTGTCTGATCTCTGCCAGCATCACAGGGAGGCAGAACACTGCAGCTTAAACCTCTGGCTACCCACGTGGAACCCAGAAATGAATATGCTCCAAATTGTTCGGGTAAATTAAATTGAAAATACAGCCCAAAGGCATAATGTTGAAAACGGAGTTCTGTAATCCCAACAGGACAGAATGATGGTGAGAGGTTGTAAACCTGGATGTAAACTCTCCTCACCTAAGTGTAGTGTTAAGGGAAAAAAAAAAAAACGAAATGCAATACCTTTCTTAGCACAAGTCAGTCATTGAATACAGATTTCCTGGCCAGAACTGAGATGCTGTGCATGTTGTAGAGTTGAAAAGGCCTAATTTTGTCAGAAATAGAAGCAAGCAAAAATAAAATCACCCTGTCATAGTGTAATTTCTGCTGCTAACTGCTGAGTACTAAAGTAGTGATCTTTGCCAATGACAGGCACAGGAAAAACCACTTTTTCTCTTCCGCTTAAAATACTCTTACTGCCAGCTTAGGAGAATGACCTATAATTTTAAGTTACAAAATTATCTTTTTTAGCTTTGTGTAGGATTCAGACTTGGCAAGTTTACCCATCACTTGGGCCTGTGCTACTATAGCAGACTCAGGGCCAAACCTGTCTAGGGAGGGGAAGGGGAAAATCTTTTGCTCACTGTAGAAAAGTCCATCTCTGTTGTGTCTAAAGTTTAGTACAGTTGCAGACTTGCTTATGTTTTTGCACATAAATGAAGCCTAATATCCTCTTACCCTGAATACCAAATGTTGGTAAATGGGAAAATAAAGCTCCAATACCACATCTCCCCAAGTTTCTTTTTAATAGCTCTTACATAATGCTCTCTGCTGTGGAAATGTACTTAATGGTGTTTTATACCTTTCGTATAACTTCCAGAAAAAACACAAATATATTGGTCTCTATTCTCTCATGAGCATTAGTGGGATGCATGCTTGTTATGCCCACATGTAGATCTTGGAATAAAACGGAACAAGACTTTCTGTACCAGAGGCAAAATACTGTGTATTGACTTTGGGGTTTGTGATGGGTAAGGAATGTGCACAGAGAGTAGTTCTTTGGATCCAGAGTAACCGTTTCATGAATTGCTTTTATTGTTGAAATGAAGCAGCTGACGGGCCGTAACACCAGAATCAATGGCCTCTGCTGCTGAGCAGCTGCGAGACAGATGGAGAGCAGAGACAAAAGTTCATCACGGTTCTGCGTGTTAGAAGTAGCACAGATAGCCATTGCTAATTGAACGCTAAGGACAGATTTTTTTATTTTCTTCTCTGCTGGGCTGTATAATACTAGATTTTAAATCTGTGGTTGTCAGGGGCTGCTAGTAACAGAATTAAAGTCCTCAAGGAAGAGGAGAGAGAAAGTATTCATAGTCTAAACAGCTGAAGAGAAGATTTAAGTAACTTGTGACAGAAGCACCAGCTCTTTGTGCTACAGCAGCTTCCTTGGGTAGGCAGAGGTGTCAGCACTGTGGGCCCCAGCGGGAAACAGAAATCCGTGAAGCACTTCTAGCCTCAGATACTAATTTGTAAAATACTTTCTTTAGCATCTGTTGATCAGAAGCAGCTACTCCCCCCCAGGCTTGTTGCACGAGAGGAGGGTGTTCTGAGAGGCAGACGATCAGCAAGTCCAGTCCTCCCCAGCAGCCAGGCCGCTGCGTTCCAGCCAGGTATGTCATCACCAACTTGCCTGTCTGTGGAAATGCATCAGGCTCTCTGCGCAGTGTCATGAATATGTTGTCTTCCTTTTTTTTTTTCTGTAGAATTGTATGGCCCTACAGATGCTCAGCCAGAAGCACTTTCCTCTGCCTCAGTGAACCTATTCAAGCCCAATAATGGTCACGTTCAGACCCCGGTGACCTCTCAGCCGAGTCTGCTAAATGTGCAAGATGATACCAGCAAAGAAGATGTCATTTTCTTCTAATTGTTTCCATTTAAAGATTAATCTTCTAACATACTGTTTTAAGAACTCAGGCTTCAGTATTCAACGTGACAGAAACATGACATGGATGTCTCCTCTTCATCTCCACCCCATTCCTACTAGCAAGTACCAGACCAGGATTACTGTTCTACTTTGTTGGCTTCTCTGCCAGCAGCTCAGAATGAGGGCATAGTAGTAATATTTTGCTTTTAAATTCTCCAAACATGGAAATGTATTGACATATGGCATAGATATATAAATTCAGAGCATATTAAAATGTTGCCATTTGTTGTAATGTGTTCTTTTTGGAGAATGTGCACTCTTTGTGGGCACCATCTTGTAAATTGTTATGGTTGATGTTGAACCGCACGGATTTTTATGTAAAAAGTTTTAGTAGTGTGCCTCGAAGTGGCTGTGAATTTTTAAATCCTTTTTCACAGGTACGTGGTCAGGAATGGATTATGCTACAGTCTGTTGATAACTAGTTGACTAGGAAGCCAGTCTCCTTTACAGCCAGGTGTGACAGACATTGTGATACCCACTCAGAGGAGCCAGAGCAGCCTCTCTGTTTTAGTGAATTCAGTGGAGCCACGTGCTCGGTGCCACGTACAGTGGAAGAGAGAAGGTAAGCTGCTTAAGGGAGTCTTCAGGGGGTCAGGAGCTCCACCTGCTTGGGCATGAGAAGGGTTGGACATGTCAGGATGTACAGTGGTAAACGAAGAGCTGGACTAAATGCACATTTCACTGGCCATCAGCTTGCAGCGGGATACCCGTCTCCTTGGACACGTTGGGTTGCTCTCCACACTGGTGAGAGCAGCACAGGTTTCCGAGCAAAACTCATGAGTTGGTTCAGAATGAACTTAGAGACTTGGATTTTGTTCTTTGCTAAAGATGTGTATAAGAAGCGTTGGAATGCAGTAATTTATTGTCGTGTTTAATCCTAAATTTTCTGCATCTTTTTTGTTTGTCTGTTAACTTGTTGGGACTTGGAGTACCAGAAGATATCAAAGCTGCTGTTACTGCAGAGGATTCTCTGCAGCACTATGTTAGGAATGAAGGGAATAAGAACTGTTTGGTTTTAAAATTTAAAAAAAAAAAACACACAACCTCTTAGCTAAACCTGTGTTTGGTTAGCTGCTTACAGCTAAACCAGCTTTGATACCTCTTGTTAAATGGATCAGTTCTTAATCATGAAATGGTGGTGACATATTAAGTGTTCTGCTCAAAAGGCATTATTTCCCTTTGTAGTAATTTGCACAGTCGTTTTGTTGTATTGTATTACTTCACTCTGTTCTTCATGACACACATCCCCTTACGGATGTGTATTCCCGTGTATGTTGAATGTGAGCAGTCAGACATATTGTGCAGCAGAGAGATTGTTTAGAGGGTGTTATTACAGAATTAAACAGTATCTCAGAGCTTCAAAACTTGGGTTAATACCTTTCAGAACATGAATGATAATAGTTTTTTCATACGTTTAACTCTGTCTTAAAGCGATTTTTAGCACCAGTGGATGGAATGCCTGGTCAGGTCTCCATCCAGCCGCCTGGCAACGGCATCAAATGGCAATTTCTCAATCTCCTCAAGTCCTGCTGTCTCAGTGGTCAGGTCCTGTGTGATGTTAGTAATGTTCTCTAAGACTGTAACTTCACTTTGCTTGAAAGTTCTAAAATTATTTCAGTAGTTACAGTGCAAGAAACATTATAAATTTTCAGCAGAAGATACAGAGTTTGCGTACAGATGATAATTCGGGTTACTGTCTTCAGACACAAAACAGAAAAATCCAAATTTACTGGTCAGCGTGAGAGGGGAAAAGTACGCTACAAAATACTGAATTGGCCTTGGATTTAAGGGTCTGTATCAACCTGAAGCAATGGCACTGAGTTCGGTGAGAGGAAACAACAAACCGTCTGGTTTGTGACCAGACTGGAAATGCTCCCCCACCCCCAAGAGATGATTGCTGTGAAATTGGACACACTTCACTAATACCAAAGGGCTGCTTGCTAAATCAGCACTGCAGAACTGACAGATTATCAGTGCGAGATTGGCAGGAAACACTATGGGGAACATAGTGATTTTTTTGCATTGTTGTGATACGATGTTGATGGTTAAAACCTAGTTCTACATTATATTAATTTTGTGCATTCCTAAAAGCTAGGTTGGAGGAGAATTCTTCTTAAAATCAATGTAACTTCTGATCAAGCCAGCGTGTGAGATCCAGCAGCTCTTTAGGACTGATTCCAGTCGTCTCTGATGGCCCTGTAATTTCTCCTGTAAACATACAGGGAAGCAGCAAGAATGCACAGTGTGGTCTCTCCCTCGTGCTGTGCTTTGGGCCGCTCCTAGTGTAAACTCTGTGCCCCCATTGCCTTAAAGTACCAGGTTTTTAGGAGTTTTAGCCTAAAGTGAGGTTATACCAGTGGAGTAAACCACCTCAACCAGAGGGGTGTCTCTGGGTATTTGAAAACAATTTTTGGAAACATTTATTTGGTTTAATTTTGTGCCTGTCCTAAAGTACGGGACAGAGTGTTCTGTGGACTAAAGGTGTTCATTTGACTACTCTCTTCTGTGCAGTGAAGAAACTCAGATATAGAACAGTGACAGCTAGAAAATAAAGTCTGCAGCGAGGTCTCATTTCTTTAAAGGTCTTAACTTAAACATACTTGTTGTCAGCAGTGCTTTGGATAAGTTCTGGCTGTTAGAACTTATCCAAACTTGTCAGACCCAGGACTGTTACAAGCGAGGCTGTTGGTTCAGCACCCCAGAAGCTCTGTGGAATATGGGTCTTCAATCTGTAACTGAGAAATTACCTTAAACGTCGTTATCTGTCCTCAGTACACATGTCTAGCTGCAGCTAGCTTTGTGAAAACTGTTTTCACCCTGAATAGAGACTGCAGCTCCTTTCCCTTGGGTCAGAATTTAAGTGCCATACCAGGTATTCATGTGGCTTCCTGTTAGTACCGTACCCAGCCTGGAGAAGGTTTCAGAATTAGCAAATGCTTGAGCATGTCCTTGCTAGTGCAGAGTTTACCATACCAGAGTATGATACAGTTATCTGTAGAAGGCTGAGGGAAGCAAGTGAAAGATTTTTCTTTAAATGAATAACGGGGTCATCTTTTCACTTCTGCAAAACTGAAGGTGTGAAATTGTTATCAGATCACTCCAGTTGAGTGAACTAGTTTTGGACTCTTTACTCAAATCTCGTTCCTAGAAAAATAACTTTTCTAGGCAAATCAGATTGCAAAATAACTGCTGTGTCCTGGGCTAATTGATTCTGAGTAATATCCTTTCCGTTTGACTTTTTGATTACTTCAGATAAATGTTTCCTTTTAAGTGATATCTGAGGATTAGACAGTTCAAAATTCTGTGCCTCCCAGGTGCCTTGTGGCTTCTTTCTGAGCTGGGGTGTGGAGGAAATTTACAGCACGAGCTTTGAACTGCCTTCTTTGCTTTGTATCACAGCCTTAAAATGACTGTCATGTTTGTCCTTTAATATTGTGACGTTGCAATGTAGAGGCTGTTTCTATGGTTCTGATTTTCAAGTTTAACTCTGGTGTACAGGATGCTTCCTCTTTCCCTTCCCATCTGGAATTTTGTGTTCCAGACTGAGGATCCCTCCGCGTTCACTAGCGCTGAGCACATCTGCCCTGTGTGTACTGTAAACGCTTTCCGAGTTTTGAACTGTGCTATCTGTGGATTGTAGTTGTGGCATGTCCCACAAATTGAGATCGCTAATCATTTCCCAGTGTGAGGCAGAAGAATTGGTATTTCTAGAGAAGCTTGCTCATCAAGGTAATAGCATTCCTGCAAAAGTAGGAGTCATTCTAAATAATTTGCGGACAGCTTCGTCTTTCTGAGTAATAGTCAGATGATCCTGCATACATGGAACTTGGTGTTTGTCATTTGCATTTCCAATGGAAGTTGAAACTTAAACTGGAAAAGGGTTAAAAAATACGTATTTTGTTTCACTTCTACTTTCAACTCTGCAGAATAGGAGCTGAGGCTCTGCGGTGCTGCTCGATGGAGTCCCTGTGTGTTGTGCCCCTGTGCAAGGGAATTTGGAGCATTTTGTTGTCTTCCCCAGCAGTTCTCTCATTTACAAGAAGAAAAAAAAGTCTTCTTAACACCAGGTTACGCATGTGCTACCCTTGCCTGACCCTCTTGCTGAATAGGTAACAGAAAAGCCTTTTCCCCTGCTCTCTCTTTCGAGGCCAGACCCAACATCTTCGTAACCACTGGCGGCTCTTTATCATCTACCATCTGCATGTTCTTCATCAGATACCGTTTGTGTGAGCTCTGGTTCATACCATTTGTGCCATGTTTATAAATCAGTTTTTTATATTTTTGTACTGAAAGAAATTGGAGCACTTTAGAAAAGTTTATTTCAAATTCCATTTCTGTTTGTACCTGGAAGGAAATCTCTCATGAAAGTAGATCCTGTTGGCGTAACTGCGTGCATCTCACTCAGAGCTGTGAACTTTCTTGATGCTCTTTAGTCTTAGGTCTGGTTTCTAGGCCCACCTTGCACTGTAAAGATTTAATAAATAATCATGGTCCATGGTTAAATTGACCATTTTGTTGGGGAAGCATTTGGTTTTGGTTTTTTGTTAGGGTGTAAACATTGTAAATAATTCCTTTATTGTTGATACTGCAGTAGCAGCATCTTTGTAGTCTATTTTATTTGTAAAGTTGATGGTTAAATGTTAATATTCTGTTGAATTGTGCACTCTTAATTAATTGTAAACTTGATCTTAGCACACCAAATGATTTTTACAATGATTGCAATGTTTCTCCACTGAAGGATTTCAGAGCTGCAATAGGACTGAAACCAACTTCTAGCAATAAAAAAAAAAAAATTTAAAAACTGACTGCCTTTATATATATATATAATTATTTATTATTTTCTATTTGAACTGAAGATCAAAGCAGAAGCCACTTCCCACATGCTTCTCATTTTCTACCCTGGACAGAAATAACGTGCCATAGGAACAAAACTCTGCCTGTTTTCCAGAGGAAGGGTCAGAGCACAGGAGGTGTTGGGTGGAGAACGCCAGTAGCTGCAGACCTTACCCGTGAGGTGAGCACCTGAGGAACAAACCAGCTGGTCTCAAAATGTCTGAACTCAGCACACTAGTGAGAGAGGGAGCTTAAACTTGCTTCTATTAGCCTGTAGGTACTGTGCACGGTGCCAGTCTGAGACATGCCTGGCTCTGTCCCAGACAGTATCGGTTCCCATTTGGAACAAGTATAACAAAAATAGAAACTTTCTCCCTAGTGCTTGTGCCAATTTGGCAGCCCTTGCTCCCAGCACCATCCCATAGCCTCTGGCTGGTGCAGAGCTTCCCAGCTCCACACTCAGCAAGTTGTTTCCTGGTGAAATCCCCGTGGCACACTGACAAGCTACCCCAAAAGCCGTAGCCTCGAATAATTTCTAGAGATGCAAAACGAGGGGGAGAACTGAGACGCAGATCGGTGCTCTCCGAGGAAGACGTATGATTTTTATCATCAGAATCCTGCGCTGTAGCCAGCGTTGAGGAAAACCCTCGGCCAGTTGTGGGTGTGACAGCACCTGTGGCGCGGTCTGGGAATCGCTGTGCGCCGCGCTACGTCTTTGTGTCGATCAAAGCAGCTGTGAAGGACCCAGGTTCCTTCTGTCCACGAGTTCGTAGAATACAGGCTGTGTTTTTCAGTCTCTGAAGTGCAGTGGACATCTGGGTTGCGGCACAAACTGGAACTCAATTGGAAAAACACAAGTTTTTCTACTTTTTTTCCAATGCATGTAAATAATCAAACTTCTACGTGCACCAGCGTCTAAAATACTTGATCTTTATGGGAAGTTACGAACTGGCGTGTTAGCAGATGAAGTTTTAAAGTGTGTGTGTGTATAAATTTTTGCTTGTACTACATTTAAGAGGATTTCTTGCATCTGCTTCTGCTCTGCTCAGCTCCCAGGGAGTGGAGCTGCAGTGGCCACTGGAGGTCACTGCCTCTGTTTCATTTCCAACCTCACCGGCTTTGTCACTGGGCGAGTAACTCCACGTCCATTTCTAAATATTTCTCAGCAGCAAGAGATGGAATCACAGTGATTTCATGGGGGACAACAGAGAGGGACAGTCTAGGACCAAAGTTACAAGGAGCTGCTTCCACAGTGGTGGGTTTAATTTTTATTTTCTAGTTGCACTGTACTTTCCTGCAGCCATAACCGTGTGTCAGACCCGTAGGAACTGTTTCTACAGGGACAGAAGAGCCAGGATCAGGGAGATCCCAGGTTAACGTGGCCAAGAGGGATCCCTGCAGCACAGATTCCCACAGGGAACTGCCCCACTGCAGCAGCCCAGAGCTCAGCGGGGGCAAGTTTAAATCTTGGGCGGAATTTGCATCTGTTGGAAGTTGGGTGCTGCTGCTGCTGCCGTCGGTGTTCAGAGGAGTGAGGGTGTTTCTGTGTTGTGCTCTGGTTCTCGCCAGCAGGGCAGAGGTTCCTTCGGCGATGGCAAACACCTTGACTGACAGTGTCACTGATAGCGCTGTGGCTCCTCTGTGAGACACGTTCTCTGCTTTTCACAAGAAGGGTGTGAGTTCAGGACGGGTGGCGGTGCCTTCGGAGCTGCTAACTTGCTCATACCAGTATTCCAGCAGCTCCGCCCTGCCTTGTCTCCCTTGAAAATCTGTAGCTAATTAACCCGAAACCCAAACCACATTCTTTCTATTTGGATGAATCACTCGGAGGCCATAGGCAATGACCAGCTTTATGCTAAACCTTCCTCTTTCATGTGGGTGAGACAGGGCTGATGGTTCCCATACGTGCATCTGAGATTCATCGGCAAACCAGATGCTTGAGGACAAACATGCACAAAGGATATTGGCTCCGCAGCGCGCCCCGACAGTGGGAATGTGCTGGTTTCTGCCTCTCCCTTTCCTCACCCCTGTGACTCGAATCCGGTTTAATTTCTCATCCCAGCGCCGGGGCCGGCCCAAGGCTCCGCAGACGGGGGCTGTTGGGCTTGGCCTTGTGTGGTGCCGACATTGTTTGCTGCTTCTGGGCCCGTGGGATCTGGCAGAGGATAAAAGCCAAACCCTCTGGGAGCTGGCGGTGCTGGAGCGTGCGAGGCACGGTCCCGGGCTCTGGGACGGTGTCACACGCACGGGAGAGGCTCAGACAGGGCCGGGATCGCTTCTCACTGAGCTCCAGTACACGGGGGCACGGAAAATCCTCACTGCACTGAGTCGGTGCCTTTTCACTGTACAGGGCGCAGACCTGAAGCCATCCCAGGTGACTGATTAATTGCTGTAAGATAGTTACTAATTTAATCAGCAAGGACAGTTTGTGCCCTTTCAGCAAAGCAGCGGTATCTTGGTGCTTAAGAAAACTATCAGAACTAGATGAGTAATTAAGAACTGTCACAGACAGAACTAACGACCGCCAAAGGCCCCATGGAAGCCCCTTGGAGACCCGAGTGTAATGACTTGTAGATAATGTAGATAGGATAATTAGTTCTGGGACATTTAATGCACATGTGTGTTAACGGAGTGATCCGAGCTTTGGCCGAGGCAGCGGACGGTGGACAGGTGAGGTGGAACAATTCCCTCATGGCCCCGGCTGAATAAAGTAATGCCTCCGCGTTACTGCGAAACCCAGCGTTGAGGAGCTTTATTCCTGATGTCAGTGACACGATACGCAGCTCTTCCAGGGGATTTCAGACAGCTAGATATGTAATGTCCTTTTTTTTCCTTTCTAGAACTTCTGAAGTCACGGACAAAAATCACACCATGTGTCGTTAGTGCTTTGTTTTTCCTGGGCTGCCATGAGCTGTCATTGTGACAGCAGCGTGGACTCTGTTTCCTTGCTAGACGTGTGCTGGGGGCTCTGCAGAACATTTGAACGGTCCGTATCGATCTCAGACAGAAAAGGAAATTTCTCAGTTAATGCTGTGCTGGTTTTTTTGTGATTAACAATCACTGGCCATCCACAGGGGCTGCTGAGCACCTACAAAAATGAGAAGTGTTAAAACCAAGGCTGGCTGTCCTGGGGCCGGGAGGGAGGGGGGGGTCAGGCTGAGGTGGCATTTCTCTGGCCGTGGTGGCTTGCGGGCTTTGTGTGAGGACAGGAGCGTCGCCTGGGAGAGCGATGGCACACAGATTGTTTTGGCTTTGAGCCTAACGATGCCCACACGTGGTGCCTCTTCCAGCGGTGGGCTGGGGGCCAGCTCCTGCAGCTGGAGGGGTGCAGCCACAAAGTGGGGCTCTGGGCTAGGAGGAGAGGCCTAGGTTTGAGCCGTGTCAAGATTCTAAGTGAATTCTATTAATTCAGGAGGATTTCTCTCCGGGTAACCAAATTAACGCCTAAAGCAACTTCACCTGCAGCCCAGTTGGACTAAATCTTCTGGCCCGGGCGCTGAAGCAGCGAAGTGGATCGATGCGTGGAAATGTCAAACTGGGAAAACAGGTCTGTTGGGACGAAGTCAAGCAAGAGTAAAAGGTGTCTAACTTTGCCCAGGGGTGCTCCCCGCTGTGCAGGGAGCCGGTTCCTGCCAGGAGGAGGTGGAGCTGGAGGGACAGCACGGGGCTTTCTGCCAGGTGAAGGAGGATGAAGGCGATGAAGCGCAGCTCTGGCTCTCTTTGTTGCCAGCAGTGAGGAGCCACCACGGAGCAGCCAAGCCCAGGTGTGCTTGAAGTGCCGGTTTTCCCCGCGAGCTCTAAGTGAAGTTTGACATGAAGAAACAATTCCCAGACGCTCACAAAGGCGTCAGCAGCAGGACCACTTGCTCCCTGGGCTGAAAGGGCCGTGAGGGTGGCTCAGATAACATCCCAGCGCCGGGAGCAGGGGGCAGACAGACCCACGTTGCTAGAAGCAACTTTGTCCCTGGTGCAAAAGGCGGATGTGGCTGGGAGCCAACCTCGATTGCTTGGCAGCATAAATAAAACAGCTGCTGCTCGACCGGCCATGAATGAAACCTCCGCTCCTCGGACTTGCTGAGCAAAGCTGGACTTTGTCCGACCCTCAGGAATAGCTGCACCTATGATAAAGGTGAAGCAGCTCCCTGCTCGCTATCAATCAGGGATGGAGAGGCTTCTTGCTGGCTTCTAGTCCGTGTCCTGTGCTGTGACATTTCCCTGGGCTGCAAACTCACCTGCCTCCCGTGTGTGCAAGCGTGGGGAGCTGCCCCACGCTCCAGCTGCTGCTGCCTGCGGTGCTCCGGGTCGGCTTTGGGCTCGTGTCCCTGCACCCTGGTGCACAAACCTCCCCTTGGGCTCAGCCAGTGATGGAGAGTCGGCACAAGGGTAAATGAAAAAAGGCCCAGCCTGGGGGCTGAAAATGGCAGAAGATCAGAAAACAGGATGGAAATGAAATCAGTTTATCTGCTCCAGCCACCAGCAGCAGGGCAGCTTGCTTCCTTCCAGTCTTGCCAGTTCTTGCCTATACTAGCAGCTAGGAAGGGTTGTGACATTGATTTATTTAACTCTGAAATTGAATAATGGATCACACCCAAACCATGCTTCTGTGGTGAGACAGTTGGTTGCACCTTCGATGCCTGTTTCCTCTGACCGTGCTGATTCCTGTCCTGCACCTCCCACCCCGAACAGCTTTTCCTTCCCAACCGCTGCCCCCACCAGGGCCCAGAGCACCCAGCCCTCGGGGAGAGATGTGGCAGCACTTTCCTCCATTCTTTTTCGCAGGGAAGAAACCCAGCTCTGCAAAAATGACCAGGGTAAGGGCAGAGAATAGCTTCATTTTAGAGTTTTAAAATAGATTTGTGTGTCCTTCAAAGCTGGAAGGCAGTGCAGGACCTGAGCTTTCCTAAGTCCCATGTTACAAAGCTATGGGAAGATCTGAGCCCTCTCCAGCCGATGAAGGTTTGGACTCAT